AATCATCAATGGGTTGAAAAATGTTGTTGACAAAAAACCGATTCGTTCGTAAATTCAACTTTTTTGATGATTTTTTTGGTATATTTCCGTCAAATAATGTTGTTTTTTGCAATTTCATACCATTTTTGACTCGTAAGGATCAGTTCTATCAATTGACATCAAAAAAGGAAATCCAAAATTTTGACCCAAATCGACAAAATGGCAAGAGGTTACATCACGTTTTTTTTTTTTGCAAAATCGAGGTTGTTGCGAAAATCGAAACTTTTTTCGTATCTCGGGTAATAGCTCCGCGCGGAGATATTATATTCCAAAACGACATAACTCCGCGGAGATATGACCTTCCAAATCATCAAGTTTTTTTTTTTCAAAAAAGAGGTCGGTGCGAAAATCGAAACTTTTTCGATGATTATACCCTGAACCCATTAAAAATGGGTATAAGGGTATATTGTATTTGTGCAAAATCCAAATGTATGTAACAGGCAGAAGGAAGCATCTGCGACTCCATAAAGTATATATATTCTTGATCTACATCAATAGCCGAGTCGATCTAGCCATGTCCGTCTGTCTGTATAAACGCAAGGAACTCAGAACCTATAAGTTCCTATAGTTCCTCCTAGTGCCTACGCAGAACAAGTTTGTTTCGGATTATCGATAACTTGCCCCGTTTCCAAGTAATCGATTAGAGTGAATATCGTTAACCTATTTTTTGAGCTATTTTGATAATTAATAAGAGCTAGACACACCAAACTTGATAGCTTCTAGAATCCTAAATATAGCAATTTAATTGCAATTGACTTTTGAACAAATGTACAAAGTTTCTATAGTACAATAAGATCTGATATAGAAAATTTCATCAAGATTGGTTAAGAAACACACAGAAGTTATTAAAGAAAACGTGATTTGGCTGGCGGCATGCGCAAATTGCAAGAATTTCTGTATACATGTACACACACATTGTCTTTTTGTGCTGCTATTTAATTTCGTTTTTTTCTCATTAGGACTCAATTGTTGGTGTTGCTGTTGAATAGGAGTGGCGGCAGGTACTGTGTTCTGTTGCAAGTTCGAACCCCACCGAAGAAACCATTTTTGTTGTTTGTTTTAATTTATGTTTCTTACTACTAAAGCATTTGGTGTTGGAAGAAGAGTGTAGGAAGAGACTAGGAAGGTCGGGAGCTTCCGACTAGAGCCTTTTAGTATCTGTATGATAAAAAAAATTTGCCAAGTTAGCCCCCAAAAATAAATGATTAGTAGATTTTATTTCATTAAAATATAGTCAAAGCGTGTAGCCTTTTCTGCAGTCTTTTGAGCGTTAAATTTTCGACGAGGTGAGAAGAATAATCGTCAACTCGCCTCTTAAGCAAACACCATATACAAACGTTACCTTTTCAACATTTTAACAACAGTCCCAAGTGCCCCCAACCATAATATTAAGCTCGCTTACTAATATGCTAGCGGTGTTAATGATATAAACCTCAGGATAGTCCAGGTTATTATGTTTTCGTATTTCACTTTTCATTGAATCGAAATCAAATTAAAGGTGGTGGTGTATCCTTGTGTATGAGGAAGGCGGAACACATTGCGTATTTTGCGATTTGAACATCCACAAGTTGCGGCATCCAGTCTTTTATGGTATGTAAATGTGTGTATATCGTATGTATAAGAAGAGAAGTGTTCGGGCATCGGGCTAACAAACAGACGGCGGACAGTGAAATCGCTTCGATGGAAGCCATAATGACTTTAGCTTCTTTCTGCGAACCGAGAAATGACTACCAATTTAAAAATACCGCTTTTGACTTGCGAGACAGTGTGGCGGTTGCTTTACCTGGTAGATGCGCATACATATATGAAGAAACACGATGTATATAAAGAGCTTAAAAGTGTTGTTTATACCCTTTGGTTTTAAATATGTATACTTTTGTGTTCTAAGATGTGCTTATGATTTGGTTCTTAAGGGCTCTTCGATGATAAGCGCAATGTAATTTTATAAGAATACATAAAACATCGAAACCTTTGGATATCGTAATTTCCCATTATGCCTTTTTTGGATAATTGTGTGCAGTTGCAGACATTAATATGTTACCTTCTATCATCCGTATATATAAAATAGTTTATCCTGGCTAATTGACTAATTAGTGATCTTTTCTTATTCTGGCGTCGCGAGAATAAGCGACTTATCGCCAGACTAGCAAGCGGAAAATTTTGAATTTCATCAAGTAGAATTTAAACTTATTTTATTTATTTTTCAAAGCTCAATTCGTCGATTTTGGAAATACCACCCGCAAGTGTAGAAATATTGTAAACAAAAATGGTTGCGATTATTTGTCGATTTGGCTATCGACTAGGGGCTGCGGCTTGTAGTATAGTCTATTGCGAGTTTGTAACATCGAGGGAACTACTTTTTTTTTTTTAATTTAATATTTTACTGCTAAAGCAAATGAGCGTGTAGAGCGAGCTGCATTTGGTGTTGGTAGAAGAGGATTCAGAGTATCTCCTAGTCGGGAGCTTCCGACAAGAGCCTCTTACTTAATCAACAATAGATCTTGTGGTGCGCTATAATATTTAAATATTTTTAAAAAGACAATTGCGTTAAAATTGGGTAGTTTTTTCAGGTAGTTCCAATTGAATTTTTTATATTTATTTATAGCTATGGGGGAGGGAGTGTAGGCGTTAGCTACAAAATAATACATACTTGATTTGTATATAATAGTTTGGAAGCTTCACGTCAAATTTGGTGACTTCAGTTCCTAGGAGGTTTTTTAAAAAACAGGATTAAGATGTCAGGTCTTATTGATTGCTTAGAAACGTGGCAAGTTACCTATTACTGGAAACATACTTGTGGTATCTACTTTGAAGTTTTAAGTCTTTGGCTATTTAGGTTCCGAATTCGACTCGTTTATTTATACGTACGAAAAGACGGATAAAATAAATTTGAGATCTTTGAAAATGAGTTATAGGCCGATGGTAAACAAAAAGTTTTATACAAACGCTTTTCGCGTTTTTTTACATTTGAAGGTGGAATTGTTAAGTCTGCAACTCCATCACAAGATAACTACAATAAGAATCAGCTTCCTTGCTCTTTAACTAGTCGATTAGGATAACAAGATTCAACAATAGAGATATATATAAAGGATTAAAATTAATAGCTTGATTCGATTTAGCCATACCCGTCTGTTTGTTTCATTGTATGTACACAAGGTTCTCGACTCTTGAAATTTAAGATATATACATATGTATGTTTCATTTCCACAAAGTAGAATACAACTCATTTTTCCTTTTCAAATACTTACTGTAATCCATAATGAAGAACAAATGTTAATAAATATTTCTACGATATAATACGGTAGCGCCTCGGCAATATTCTTCAGGGCATGAGCACAAAAACTTAAACAATTAACAATAAAAGTAAGAAACTTAAGGTTTTGCCGTTAATCTTTGCATTTTTGTTTAGCCTATCATCATTTTAAAAGATCTTTGGGAAAATTAATTAATTCCCCCGCTTTTAAATTTTAAATTTCGTTTGATCGCCTTGAAAGTCATTTTCGAAGCCCTGCACAAGAACAATTTCAGAGATTTTAGAAAAATTTGCAATCATTTTGTTTCTTTGGGAGAACTTAATTATTTTGTTCGTAAAATCAACCGCTCCTGAATGGAAAATGCGGGTCAAAAGTTTAATCGGCTTCAAGTTTCTCATTACAAGACTTATAAGAGGAAACCGTTGATTTGAACTTTTGCAGCATTAATTGATGACCTTTAAATCAATTTTCATTACTAAAATAGACGACGAGTTTAAGATGGACTTGACATGACATGACTTAGCTATATCGATTCAGTTGACACTGATAAAGAATATATTTATATATATATTTTGTAGTAGTTTAGGTAAAATTTCCCAAAACCACATCTGACACATACTTTAGCGAAAATTCTTTGAATTCAATGCATACGTTGATCACTAAGCAGTTAATCAAGCTTTGCCCGTGGCAAGTTTCGTGCTTAAATTAATATATATTACTTATCCACATAGTTCCTTGGAACATTTAAATATAGATGTACTATTTTGATCTCCGTCTTTTTTAATTTTAAAATATGTTTAAAGTCCATCAAATAAATGACCAAATATTGAAGCCAACGGATTCCCCCCTGCTAGTCTTCCGGTGAGAATTTGAAACTAAAAAATTAAGCGGCGGCAATTAAACTTTTGACCCGCGTTTCCAGCCAGAAGCGGTAGATTTTGCCTTAAAAAAAAAAACAATAAACTCATTTTCACAAAAATCTTTTATTCTTGGTCAGTATCAACCGCCAAATCGATAAAGACATGGCCTCATGTCTGTCTCACACTTTCAAACTATGTGTTTGCGTATGATAAAAAGGACAAGTAATTGTACCAACCATCACCAATAATGTTTAAATGTGATTTAAATTATAATAACGGTTGGAATGAAAGAGATGCTTATTCTTCAGATCAAAATAAAAAACTAAGCGGCCCAATAGATCTTTAATATGACACCTTTACTTACCCTTTTTCTTCAATACCAATATATATCGTACACCGAATCATGGAGTTAATTAACTTTGACTCATGACCCTCAGTTCTTATTACAACAATAATGACCTTTAAAAAATATTAATAGATAAAAAAAGTGTTAGGCACTTTCTTTTCTAAAAAAGAGTGTATTTCCCTTAAGAAACAGATAGAAATAGAAAAAATGTAATTAGCTAGGATTGAAGTTTCTAAAACTCAGCTTGATTTGTATAGGCATAAAGCTTATTGAAATTTATGTTTTTAAAGTTTAGCAACATATTTCTTATCTGAAATTCTGTTTCATTTAATTATTTCTGAAGAATTTTAAGCAGGATTGTTGTGCACATTTTTGTTCTTATCCATTATTAAAAAGTTTAAAAATTAAACAACTAGTTGATGAAAGAACAAAATATTCTATGGATTTAGAAGCAATATAATATACAATGAATAATATCACCACAATAAATGACTTTTATAGGTGAACCCAATACATAACGAGAATAATTTGCACGGCTGGACTTAAGCAGAGGAGAGCGATGGCCAGATATATTAACCAAATACCTTTACAATGAAGGACATTAAATCGCCACTCAGTAGAAATGTGCAATGTCCCTATGGATATTAATCTGGCTCTTAAATGCCCTTTCTATGCTTGCTCCCATTTTGAAGATATAATAACAAAAAAAAAATTAGTTGTTGGCGTTAAAAGGGTGTTAAGCTGGTAAGAGAATTTAATCTTCGGGCTTTAGTTTCAGTTTTAGCATTATTTCTTTCTTTATTTTACTTTGTTTTCAGCTTTGCTTATGCACCGCCCAATTTGTTGATGTAGGGAAAGGGGAAGACTTCACCTTTCGTTTGCCTTTTCTTTTCAAGCCAGCCGAAATATGTAATTACTGCCTCGATCCAATTATGTATGTTCATCTACACCATCGCACCGCAAAGAACATTTTCAACGCTTTAAACGAAACGTACCATAAACAAACTATCTTATAAGTTATAATTATTTTTTTCTTTTTCAACAAATACATATTTTATAATTTAAACGAAAATAAGACTAGTGAGCATGATCTGCCGACTCGAAGATACTTTGTATACATGGTTATACTCTATATATGAAACATTTTGACTCACTAATCAATCCAAAGGGCTATGTGAACTAGAAAGCATTAAGTCAAAGTTGAGCAGTACGAAAAACCAACACAGTTTTATAATTGTGACTGAGCGACGGAATAACAAGCTAAAGGTCTCTGGCTTAGCTCCATCAGCAAATGTTATTTGTTTTCCAAATCAATAATAATAAATTAAATAGGAAAAAAAGCTCTAGCTCTGAGATAGATACGTCCATACCTTCGGCTGGATCGATTATGCTATCAAATAATATACATATACGCATGCAGATGTTTCCATTTGTCTTTTCCATACATTTACACAAAACTTTTATACCCTTATTAACAATGTTGAATGGGTTGATTTAGACATATCCGTCTGTCTGTCTGACTGGAACGGACGAATATATCATATAGTTACAATCGATCGAAAAGTAGATTCTCAACATTTTTGATTTACCAAATATTTAGAACAAACTCGCCACTTCTTAGCGTCTATGCTCCTTACTTATTGGATCACTTTATCTTATAGCTGACGTAGCAACGATCGGTCGAGAATTAAGTTCTTGTATCAATACTTAGTCTTATCCGTAATGGAAATGTCTTCAGTCTTATTCTCCGTTTTGTTGTTCTTCAAAAGAGTTCAATATTCTGGTTGTAAATACCATAGCAAAGCTTCCACATCAAATTTGGTTTTCCAGATATTATAAACTCCGAAATATACTTAAGAATCAGGATATCCTTATCAATGCCTATCGGTTTGATGGATCAATCGATCATTTGAAAAAAATACTCTGTTCTGCGTGGGCTTAGGGTAATAAAATTCTTGTAAGATTAAGCAGGCCCAATATTTAGCCAATGTATTCTTTTTATTTACCCCTATCAGATATACAAATTACCGCATTTGAAAACAATCAAGTCTGGTCAGGTATACGTCCTTTCTAAGAAGCATAAGAGAGAAGGTACGAGTTTCAATAGCTAAGCATTCGTTCTCATTTATTTTAAGCTTGTTTCGTATATTTTGTACCTTAAACATATGTTTGTGTGTATTTGATATACTTAGTACACATGGATACATACATATGAACGTAAAAATTCTGTTTAAATCGTTTTGTCGGCGTTCGAACCTAATTTGGATAAATAATGATGAAACATGCCGCACAAAAATTAATTCCGTTTTTAACGCTTCATTATTTAATTGTATTTGTTTTGGCATACACACTATTAATTCATCCATAACCATTAAAACGAGTTGGAATAGGATATTAGCGGTAAGATGAAAGATCTTGACGCAGCGGCTTCTACGCCAACCGCCAGAAATGGAAGTGATGTTTCTCTTTTATTTGTTAATTGCTGGAAATCATCCGTATTTTATAACGTGTAGGTAGAAACGGGAGTGTATTTGATTGTATATACTAATACATATACATGAATAAATAATTTTATAAAAGCGATGGGGGATTGCGGCTTGAGGGAACATTGTCTACTCATGTTGATCAAACACGTATATAAGTATATATATACATATATATATATATATGCATACTTGTCTGCACATGTGTTTGATCAACACGAGTAACTCATTTAATATTGTGATGCCTTCCTGTCTGCCGAGAAAAACATAAGCAAACCATATCTCAAAGCCGACCTCAATCGATATTAAAAACTCGTTCTGCGTATGGTATAAAATAATATATATTTCAACTTTGAAGTCTATAGCCGGCTGTATAGACGCACACACAGGCGGACTTTGACAGATCGTTTTGGCTCGCCGCCCTGATCAAGAATTGTTATACTTTGTGGGTTTGGAGATCCTTCCTTATGCCGTTGTCATATATTTTAACAAACACGTAGTACAGTCCTTACCCGTTTTTAATCGACGCGAAACCCGAAAACGAATACTCTTTTATTCGGATAAATATTTAGAGTAGCTTGTGGATCATCTCGCTATATCATGCCCAAAGATGTGTATATTTATACCTTACCTGACGAGATATATATATGTACTTGTGTATATGTTTCGAAGTTTCAAATTTCTAGAACTTATATGTCTCTAAATAAGCTAAGCCATATAATAAGAATTCTTTGGAGCACAATACTCTAGAAGCTACATGACAAATTTAGTGACTCTAGCCCAGACAATCTAAGAGATTTGCTTAACGATCAGGATTACGATATCGACTAATAGCGATTTCTTGGCAACGGGGCAGTTATCGATTATCAGAAACCAACTAGGAGGGCCAAACTTCAAATTTTCTAGCTTTTGTATGTTCTGATATCGATGCGTTCATATATTCGGACAGATGGTCCGACGGTCGGACTAACATGAGATCTTTTTATTAATGTATATTTTTCCATATAAATCACGAAATCCGAAAGGTTTCTTATAAAGATTGATCATTCTTTATGATCCATACGATAAAGTCATTTCATCTTAAACTATTTTAACAATATATTAGAAGCATAGCGATACTCGTAACTAACGTAACGTATCTATCCTTACTATCCTAACTTACCCTTCATTCTTAAAATATAGAAAAGTTGCTTTTCTTTTAAATTTAGTTTTCAGGTGGAATCTACATCGATAACCAACGGCGTCAGTTTTTGTTTGTATTTTTCTTATAACTCTCAGGTGGATTAAAAACTATTAATATCCTTTTATCGCACGGCTTTTGCGGATAACATATTGAGGAGCTCGGACACCAAAGTTATTATGGCGCGTGTCCTAAATATAGAAGTATGAAGGTTTTTGATATTTTATAGCAATGCAATGATTTTTTGTTGCCAATAAAAGCCTGAGAGCAGAAAATATATATTTCGCGCAGTTTTAGAACTTGAAAATGGAAAAGCTCGCCTCCTTGCAGCTAATCTTGAAAATCTTTATCTTCTACTTCTATATACTATACTAGGTACATGCAAGAGACAGTGGGGTGAAGGCGACTACTCTATTTTACTCGTTTCACTTTACACTTTATTGCTTATTTATGAAATAATTGTGCTAAAATCCCTTTTGATAATTTAACATACATATGTGCAAGTAATGCTCTAATAACCACAATAAAATGAACACGTGACATTTGTGGTTTTGAATTATTTAAGGGAATGCAAGCAAGTCAAAATTGTTTAGACCTATTGCGGCTCATTAACTCTTGATTGAAACAGAGAAAAATTATGCTACAGTCAAGTGTATCATTTTTAAAAGCATATTTTCTGCAATAATAACAATGGGAGCCATTGTAGAACTTGTGCGTTACTAAAGCAAATCAGCATCCACCCCTTATTGTACTTATATTGAGCAATAATTTTCCTAATAATACACAAAAGCTACCCCGTAACAATGACCCTTTTAGGACGCAGAAATCGGAATGCTTGTCCTTGATTTATTATACCATTATAGCTTTGATTCTTAGACGTATTTGATTAAGTAGAGTATAATGATATACAAAGTCATTGTATGGGAATATGGTCTTTTTTCTTATAAAAATATCCCTGTTTCTACTCAAGTGAACGTAAGTGGCCATCTGACTTTTACATTATACTATCGACTATCACTCATCTGAGTAAACCTCAATTTCTCCGAGAACGGCGAACAAATTGCTTCCGTAGATGTACTACAAATAATTATGTGTGAACCCAGTTGGATATACCTTTTTTCTATTATGTATTTGCCAAGTATACTGGATCGCTATATACTATCCCGGTGATGCCAGCTCATAAATCCTAGAAGTATTGCTCAACATAAGTATTTCGATATCGATATCGTTCAAAAGTGCAAGTCTCTAGCTCCTGGAGGCTGTGAGATCCGCGCATTCATATATTCATGGCTAGATCAAAGACATTGTAAATACTAACAAATGAGTAAAGCCATTCAACAAAGTGCTACTATACAGCTTGACTCACAATTCAAAGATCGAAAAAGCTAAAAATATAATATACTCTCTGCTCCAGCTCTGTGAGGGCTGAGCGGTCCAAAGCAAATCGGTAAATGTTTTCTTCCCTGCAGTGTCTTTTGCTTTTCGAAGAAACTAATTCTGTTAGTTTTGTGCGCTTCTGATATATCCTAAATTTGTATTTGCAAATGTTTGTTGGTCTGGGAGAAAAACAATATCCGATAACTGATGCTTATATAATTTCTTTAAATTAAGTTATTGTTATTTAACTGGCAGCAGCTAAACAGCATAAACCTTTTTCAAAATTTTTTTTAATTTTTGATTTAATTGATGATATATTAATCTTTGCTGTTTTATATATTCATGTACTTATATCATAAGTAATTAAATTTTAAAAAAAATTTGAATGTTATCATGGCCTTAGAAATACTCAACTTTATCCGAGTTTACCTCAATACACAACATACATATGTGCATACAAATGTGGGATATACATATATGTAGGTCATGGTCAGCCCTTTAAAACCCATAAACCACTTTGTGGTGAATAATAAAACATTTACATATACATATTTTGATCTCGTGCATGCATAATTCACAAAAATTCGCAAAAATAAAAGAAAAGTTAACTAGCGTCTGCTAAAGTATGAGTAAGTTATGGTAGAAGGTGCGCTATGTGATAACAAAAGTATTATTTCCAAGTTGATCTTCACAATTTAGAAATAACATCTAAGGACTATGTCACTCATTCATAGCGTGCATATCATGCAAAAGTACTAAAGTAAATACAACACTCTTTCGCGCAACTTACTTCGAAACTGAATCGACGCAGAGCTCTTCTGAGGGCAGAGGGCTTATTGTGCTATATCATATTTGTACATTTGATTTGATTTATAGCCAAGGGGTGGTGGCGGGGGTGGGCGATAACTATAAAATAAAAGATACTTGATGTATATAATATACTAGAAACTACTTGCCGAGTCGATCTAGCTATGTCGGTCCGTCTATATGAACTTAGCGATTTTACAACTTGTATGAGTTAGTGACTTACAATTTTGAATGATATTGATATCGAAATACGGTTTTTTTGAACATATCTCATAAGACCTAGAGTTAGTTTGACAAATAGCTTTTAGAACAGTGTTTACACATAAACTATTTATTATTTTATAGCTACTCCACCTCATCGCACCCCATAGCTATAAATTAAATAAATAAGTCAATCAGAACTACCCACCAATTAAAGCCACAAATTTAATACGAATATATGAACATTATATAGCACAATGTTTAAAAAAAACACAGAAAAAATAAAATTCAATAAAACGTGTGTTAATACCTTCCCGAAAATTCCTGTACACACATACATTAATATGGGTTCCCTTTTTGAATTCAATAAATATATGTGCGCATGTGCCTCTGTGCGAGTTCGAGTCCGTCACAGGGAGCTATTTATTATTTAAATTACTTTTATAAATGTAAGGGTAAACGAGAAAAAGAAGGTTCAGGGTATAAACTAGTTGGGCACGGCACACTAGAGCACTCTTACTTGTTTAATATTTAACAAGAGGTTCTAGTCGGGAGCTCCCGACTAGGGGATACCCTGAACCTTCTTCTTCCAACATCAAATGCATATATATACTATATTTTAGAAGCAATATATCATATTTCGTGACTCTAGCTCTTATTATTTATCAAAATTGCCCAAAAAAACAGGAAATCGATATCGATTTGTATCGATTGCTTGGAAACGGAATAAGTTATCGATTATCGGAAACAAACTCGATCTGCACAGGCACTAGGAGCCCCTACATATAAATTTCAAGTCTATAGCTCTTATATGTTCTGAGATCCTTGCGTTCATACATATGGACGGACAGACGGACGGACAGACAGACGGACATGGCTAGATCGACTCGGCTATTGATGCTGATCAAGAATATATACACTTTATGGGGTCGGAGATGCTTCCTTGTGATTGTTACATACATTTGCATTTTGCACAAATACAATATTCCCCTATACCCATTTTTAATGGGTTCAAGGTATAATCATCGAAAAAGTTTCGATTTCCACCCCGACCTCGATTTTGAAAAAAAACGTGATGAAACCCCTTGCCATTTTGTCGATTTGGGTCGAAGTTTCGATTCCGATTCGTTCGTAAATTCCATCTTTTTGATGATTTTTTGTAATATTTCCGTTAAATAATGTCCGATTTTGCAATTTTATACCATTTTTGACTCGTAAGAATCTGTCCTTCGATTGGCATCAAAAAAAAGAAAATCAAAAATTTTGACCCAAATCGACAAAATGGCCTGACAATAGAGGTCGGTGCGAACCCATTAAAAATGGCTATAAGGGTATATTGTATTTGTGCAAAATCCAAATGTATGTAACAGGCAGAAGGAAGCATCTCCGACCCCGTAAAGTATACATATTCTTGATCAGCATCAATAGCCGAGTCGATCTAGCCATGTCCGTCTGTCTGTCCGTCCGTCTGTCCGTCCGTATGTATGAACGCAAGGATCTCAGAACATATAAGAGCTATAGACTTGAAATTTAGATGTAGGTGCTCCTAGTGCCTGCGCAGATCGAGTTTGTTTCCGATAATCGATAACTGACTCCGTTTCCAAGCAATCGAAAAAAATCGATATCGATATCCTGTTTTTTGGTCAATTTTGGTAAATAATAAGAGCTAGAGTCACGAAACATGGTATCTTGCTTCTAAAATAGAATATATATATGCATTTGATGTTGGAAGAAGAGGGTTCAGGGTATCCCCTAGTCGGGAGCTCCCGACTAGAACCTCTTGTTCTAATTTATAGATGAATTACTTTCCACGTATTAATATGTCAGGGAACCCAGATAATTTTGATATATTTTATAGGATGTATTTAAGCAATTATGAATATTTTTTAAGCAGGAACTTTAGGATTTCTATATAATTGCTTTATATTTATTATAAACATTACTAGTAAATACAGGAATTTTATTTTTTAATTGAACAAATTGTTTTAGTAGATCTTAAAACTGCTGGAGAAATTATTCTATCTTAAAATTATTTATTATTATATTTGTATAGTAATAAATTAATTTACTTCTCTTTATAATCAAGTGTTCTTAAAACTTTAAATACATAACATTTAAATGTATTTTTATATATATTATATATGGTATGTACTCTTATATATATATTAAAATATTATACTTTTGGATACGTCTAAAGTTTGAATACCCACAAAATTGAAAAACACAAGATTTTAGAACTATCGACTTGGCCTTTGGTATTTACACATGTTGATTCCATATTAATGCCCTTAAAGTTCAATAAAGATCGGACAATAACATCGAAATAAATCACTCAGGCTTTTTGCATAGTGAGTGGTGAAAGAAAGAAGCAAACGACGTGCGTGCAATAATGTTTGTGCCGGCAGCTCTGTGCCGGGTCCAGGGAATCTCCAGGGAATATATATTATATACAGTCTCCACAAAGTATACATAGCCATTTTCTACTGTATGTCTACCCCATATGGATTATATAATGACTTTCAACCTAGGTGTTTTGAGCACATATTATAGTTAATAAGAGCATAACGCACCGAATTTGGTATTTCGGTTATTAAATATCATTCTCAGATGCATTTTGTATTTTGGACTCATTTCCCAGTTCCATCCTAAATTTAACTTAGTGCACTTTTAAAGAAATAGACTTGATTTTTTCAATTTGAATACCTTATTGACTCTTAGAAGGATCTTACTCCAAACACTGAACTTATTTAAGAATTTATATAGTTTTGCATTTGAAAAGGCAGCCACACACGAATAGTGCCGCGCTCATATGTGCTCTTAGGCTCGTTTAGTATAAAGGGAAAAGAGTATGTTAGTTTTTAGCGAAGTCCACCAGCCGGCCGTCCATAGGAACGCAATTAAAGCTAGACTTTGAATTTTAAATATATACTCGGAAATAGAAAATATTTGTAATTTGCTGCCCTAGAGCCAGAATAAGCAATTTAGAGTAATATAAAGTAGGCTGTTGATGACGATTGACGCAAAAATACTTTTCTTACGCCTGATACGCTTACAAAAATGTTGTATATCATTAAAAGGCTAACAGGCTAGCTCGTATCCAGCTTTTTAAAGTGTTATTTGGCTGTGAACAAGATGTGCGCAGCCGGTTGCACTCAATCAAATGCAGGTTGCGACACCTCGGGTTGGTACAATGTATCTACCAAATGGGTTACTCGACTAAAGCGTTGGTTATCGTCGCTATAATTTTAATACTTTTTCTTTAACTGTTTACCTTAGTTAATATTTTGCATTTGTTTATTTAATATATTGTTTGAGTTTGAGTCTGACAAGCTTGTCTTGTATATACTCTTGCATGCATATGTACTAATAAAGCGAATATTTTTGGACTTTGCATATTGCATTACGTATTTATTCAAAATATTTTATCGTCCTATGTATATACATTTATTAATACTATTTAAAATATGAATTTACTAGTACATATACAGATTTATAATAGATGACATTAAAAATGAAATTAAAATTGTTTTAAAAAATATTTATATTTTAAATTATAATATATATAGCATTTTCTCATCATGGGCGTCAGACATCGCTTAAGTAGAATTTGAGAATTTATAAATTTTTAAATATGATCTATATGTTAAAATTAATATCATAAACCTTACTACAAAAGGAACTAATTGTATGTACATCAACAGCATTGGATAGATTTTTTTTATTTTTTTCACTAGGCATAGGAATCATTCTAAGGAATAATTTTTATATCGTTCGCATACCAGAGCTTACTCTATTTTGAGCTTCCGGACCTCGGTATGTTTGTGACGGTGGTATAATTGAGAAATTATTACAATAACTGCTGTTTATATTTCCAATTGGTGCTGACATCATTAAAAGCGGATGGGCCAGAGCTAAATCATACGTCATTGTGGGAATTCCTGAAGACTGTATGCCACTAGAACTTAGACCAGATACGTTGACACCAGCGGCATAATGAAGGAATGGTAGATGGGCAGAAGCTGTTATTGTATGTAGTGGAGGTAGTGGGCGTTGACGCTGATCCTCATAACGAGTGGGCATAGCTATTGGCAGACATTCATCCGATTTTCGTGGATAATCAGTTAGTTTAGTGTAAGAGCTTCCGCATTCCACAACATCGATGTCAGTGCGATCATCGTCATCATCTTCATCCTCTGAGAGTTGCTCAGGCTTATCAGGTGTAATAAGGCTTTCTATTGTAAACAATCGTTTTGGTCGATAACTATTGATGCCTTCAAGTTCGAAATTTGCCGGCGAGCGCTGATTGCGCCTGGTTATTTCGGTCAAATGAGTATTTTCGCCGTTAGTTAAAGAATTGTGCCTAGATTGTGATAATGTTGCACTATGTCCAGGGGGCAAAGGGCAATGTTGTGCCATTGCTGGTGATGGTGATAAACGATTTGAAGAGTGTGATAAAACCACGGAAGACTCCACATTCATAGTTGTATTGCTTACGTCCAGCGTGGGCATTTGAGAAATATTACTCCCAGTTCGGGCGGTGAAGAAAAATCGATTAATATTCGCTAGTGCTGTCAACTCTTCATTGAGTAAATTTTTATCATTCTTATGTAACTTGAAACGCTTTCTTCGTCGTAACAAACTTCCATTCTCAAACATGTCGAAGGCTTGTGGATGAAGAGCCCAATAGGCCCCCTTTCCGGGTCTGTCTGGCCGTCGCGGTACTTTAATGAAACAATCGTTGAAACTTAAATTGTGTCTCAGTGAGTTCTGCCATCGTTGGGTGTTTTTTCGATAGTATGGAAACCTGTCGGTTATGAATTTATATATATCGCTTAACGGTAACATTTTTTCTGGTGAGCTCCAAATAGCCATTGCTGTCAGCGATATATATGAATATGGAGGCTTCTGATCACCGTAGGATTCACGTGAGGGCCTAGGCATTATTTGAATACTGGAAGTCTTGCGTTATTTATGTATTAAACGTCTGTGCCAGTATTAACTGTGTTTTTTTAATATTCAATATCATATCATGATAAACGGAATTTGAATAATATAACTAATTTTGAACTGGTAAACACAAAATACTTAATATTGAACGAGTGTTCATTAAAGACATTATTTTTGCTGCGAAGCTTATTTTTATGTAAATAGCCCGATTCGACATATCAAAGGCTTCAGCGACGGTAAAATAACTGCACGAGCTCGCGTTAATAATCGCCGCACAAATACTACTCTTCTGATAAGCTTTAGCAAAAGCAACAACACGGAATGTAAGCGCGCTCTCCAAGTTTTGACCGGTCTGGCGAATTACCATCTAAAGCTGAATACGAATACGTGAGTTGCAGTGGCTACTTTGCAGTGAGTTTGAAGCGAAGATAACGACAGACCCGAAGCAAAACAAACGAAGAGCCCGACTCACATAAAACAAAATCACTCTTACAGCAGACCAACAGACGGCGTGTCGGTTATTGTACTAAGTGAGCAATGCAGTACAACCAACCACAGTGAGCAATGCAATCAAAATATAATCACTCACATCATTGCCCCCGTGCTCTCTCCCAATCACCGCCATGCCAATGTATCATCCCTCTAAAACGGCAAAACTTCAAAGGAGAGAGCCGAGAAAAGAGTAAGAGATTTGCTAAACGAACCAAACCAGTTTAGCCAGACCACACTACGCCACTGCTATGGCAAACAAGACGAATATAGTAGTGGGGAGTGTCTACGGGCATGGCTTAGCGACTACAATAAACGAATACACAATCGACAAAAGACAAGCCGCCCGGCAGCTGTCGACCAAATGTGAGCGCGAGGTGTTGAAAAAGAAAATTACATCCACTTTAGCGATTTACTGATTTTACGTTTTCATAATCTTGTTAGTTAATTTAGATGGTTTGTACCAAGATTGACTTTACTGCAGGTCACTTAACCAATACAATAAAACACTTATTTCTGTTTGAATGTTAGTGCAGAATTACGTACATATATCGATGATGATATATCGAGATATACATATAAATACATATATATATATCTATATATATAAACATATATATATATCTATATTAATATTGGTATATGAATAATGAATGTGTCTTATAGGTAACACACCTAAAGAAAAAATGTATATATATATTAACAACAAAAAACCAAAATATGTATACATGCATACATCTTTTTTACCTATCTTTAAATACAAACAAAATCAATTGCTTGTTAATTTGAGAGTTCATAGAGATAACAAGGTGCTCATCATCCAAAAGTAAGCAAAAACAAGAGTATAAGAAGAAAGAATAGTTCTCTAGTCGACTGGCAGATACCCTGAACTCCGCGCCGTGCCAACTACTCGAATATTCTAACTTCCTTCTTTACAAAATACACACTCTCGCCACTTGCTGATCAGGATCAGGGCGAGGCATCCAAAAAGTGAAATATTACTTGTGTATATTACTTGTGTATATCCTGATCAGAAGATATATACTTTATGTAGTCGGACATGCCTTAATCTGCCTGTTACAAAAATTTAATTGGGTACAGGGTATAAAAAAGAAAAAAAAAAGAACTATGACCAAGAGCTAAAGTATACAACAAAAGTTGTGTTTGGGAGAGAGCATTTACCAATAATTGCTCTCAGAGCAAAAGAAATAGACAGAGAAGGAAACAGTGTGAGAGTGAGATGCATTAACCTACTTAGCAGAGCAGCACTATGTGCACATTCTTATACAAATTAAAAGAGGACAGCAATATTGTGCTCGAATTTGAAGCATCCACCTTGCTTGCTTCCTATTTGTTCAAAATAAATGTCTGTTTTCATTGGTCCATGTAAATTCATATATGGATATGTTTGCATGGGGTAGAACTTTGAAACTTCTTGTAACAATAAATGTATTATTTAAAAAAAAAAAAAGCATTTTATATGGATTTACTAAAACCAACAGAGTGATTAGCGAGATGAAAAATGTTAATAATGTGCTATGGATTCATAGATAATTTTTTTTAATTTGAATAACCTTTTCATTTAATTTCTTCGCTTAAACATGTTTAAGGTAATTCTCATTTCTTAAATTAAATTATTTGTTTCAGTTATAATTTAACAGAAAAGGAGACATCCCCGATTCCCCCAATGTATACATTTTATTTACCAGTTTTAAACTCCGAGTCTATAAATCCGAAAGTCGATCTGTCTTCATTATCTTTTAAGTTTACAAATTTTTTTAAATTTCTTTTTGGGTTAAATGATGATTTTTTTTCATACTAGACGAAAACTAAATACCAAGTTTCGAGTATCCAGTTCTTATAATCTTCGACTCCAAACATATAGTGATCGATATTATAAAATGAAAAAGACGAGGGTATAAGCTGGAAACCAAAATAGACTATAGTTTGTACAACTTCTGATCTTCATATTTCATTTTGCGAAACGTGTGAAACATGCTTGGAATGAATAAAGAGGTTTGTTAAAAGTATGATCAGCTGGTTATTAAATAATCTGCACAAATAATTCGCAATTACGGATGGAATTTCAAAATCGCTGAGCAGACGAAATTATCGCCAAGTAACTTTGACCTCCGAAAAGTATGAATGCATTTTCTTAAACACCTTTTTCAAATGAGTTCGAACCCAACTAAGATTAATAATGTATAAGCACAGAGGTCTAGTAGCTGGTAAAGTTAAACGCCTTGGTTCAGTTTGTTAAAAAACAAAAATAGTTGATAAAAACAAAAAAAGTAATAATACCGAGGGGCAAGTGCCTTGTAGACAGAAAGCAGCATGGCAAAATACTCTTTGAAGAAAAATGTCCAGGTTAATATATGATACTGCATATTTTCAGATAATCTAATAAGCCAGAGAATCAATACAGCTTTACGGAATCGGGTTTATCGGGTATTAATAAGTTAATATAAAACACCATTGGCGATTTTATTTTTATATAATTTTGTCAAGAAGTTAGAAGGAACACATGAAATCATTCTTATATTGCCTGAGAATCTGTTGTTGTATAGACCTTAATGAGGTTAGCGACTAAAAAGTTTAATAATCTTAGTATTACGCCACCAATTCCGAGGGATTTTGCCTTTGCATGTTGAAAGTACAGTGATTTATTTATATCTGATGCTAAATCTTCTGGTTGGATTACACCTTTTGACATATACGATTTTCGTATGCTATGTTAGATCATTTTTCTGAGTAGAGATTTGTTTTTATTTTGTGCCAATGTGTAGCTAAATTTTTGGTCTGCGGGATGCACAATTCGATTTCTATTTATTGTTTTCTTCTTTTTTATACAATTATTATCTTGTAATGTATGATATAATAAGATAGTTTCTTGCCAACAATTTTAAAATTTCTCGACATCTATTTTATAATTGCCTGATATCGCTCTTTAAATAAATTGAAAGTTCTTTAGAATCCCTTTATCAATAATCAGTTTTATACAAATATATCCGATTTCCAGAATGAATAAGCTGTATTTCAATCGCTTTATTGCCGTTACCGTAATTTTCCTTTAATTTTGGATTTCCATTTATTTTCTTATCCATAGTATCAAGTATTTGCCGTTTATTGATACTAATTTTTTTTCGAACTCTCTTGATGTATTTTCAATTTGGCTTTTATCGTGTACTGTGGGCTTGGGCTTATTGGGACTTGAGGGCTGCTAATTAAATTCTGTTATTTAATTTTTTTTTTTTTTTTTTGCGAAACTAAGACATTCGCACTGCGTTTCAGCATGAGGCGATGGCAATTAGTTCGTTCGGTCAATCCCCGATTTCGATTAGCAGGTGGAATTTATTTAAAAAATTTATATTTTTAATAAGCCTAGTAAATCTCTTTACTCACAAATGGTAAAAAAGTGTATTTTTGCTTAAGCTGCACTTGGTTTTGGTAGAAGCAGGTTCAATTTTCCTTCTAGTCGGTACTTTCGACTATAACTCTCTAAATTATTCGGATCGAATTATTTGTAATTCATAAAGGGTATACATTCTTGCTCAGCATCTATCGCCGAGGCGATCTAGCCATGTCCATCTGTCTGTATAAACGCGTCGACCTGAGAACATAAACTTGAACCTAGCTCCTTGCAGTGCCCGCCCAGAGTTATTTGCCGTACATCGATGACTTGCTCTGTTTTCAAACGATCTATAAAAATTGACTTTAAATCCGGTTTTTTGAGCATGCCTTTTAGGTCTTAAGAGCTTAAGTCACCGACTTTCAATTTTCAGACGGCGTTTAGTAGATTTTTGCATATCGCTCCTCATAGGAGTAGTAATAAAAACTTTTTGGGTTAAAATTCCTTGACATTTAATAAATTCTTGTTTGATCTTTCAAAACTGCAATTATATTTTATTTTCGGCATGCCGCTCTCTCATGTTCTTTTAAAAGTATATTCCTTTACTATCAATATTTCTGCAGTAACATTTATTTTGACGGTTAATATAGTTCTCGATTAGTCAAAATTAAAATTTTCCAAAACTAGGGACTTGAAATTTTTTCCTGTATAACTGTTTTTACATCATAGCATTACATCATACGATGAGAAATGACAGGAAAAATAAATATACTTTATTGTTAACACACCTACCAAACACTAAAGTACTACAAGAGTGAAATCAGAAGAAGGCACACATATCAACAGAGGTATCTAAAACAGTCGGTGGTCCAGTCAAACGGAATCTGTAGTCAACAAGAACCACATAAGACGACTGTGGAAGCACCATTCTTTTTTTCTCTTGGGTCCACAGAAGAACCCGTAGCTATAGACGGTAAAAAAATAAGGTCGGTTGAGTTGTTGGAGTTGGGGCTGCTTATTTACAGCCGGAGACTAAAAACTACAAGGAGTAGAGCTATTTGAGTGTCTGTAGGTATGTCATTTTGTTTGCAAAAACTAACAATCACACACTTGATAGTTAGTCCTGGCCTGCCACATAAATGCTCGCATCTCGTCAAACACCTCCCTGTTCGCGTCGCACCTATGTACTTATAGTGCAAAGCATTTCGTAGGGCGACAGCACCTACCTAACCCAGGCTTATATGGTATGCTATATTGATCAGCAAGTTAAGAATAACATGAGTGACAGGAGATTACCTGAACTCTGCGCAGAATGGTTCCTACAAATATTCTCGCATCCTTCCATACACAATATAAACACAAACGCCGCTTGCTGTTGAGATTCAACTCAATTCTGGGATAAATGTGGCACCCAATTGTGAGGAAATACCAATTCTCAATGCATAGAATAATCGCTAGGACCCCCAAAATGCACAAAAACAAACAGAACGGCCTACTAGGTTTTACTGTGTACACTTAAGTTAACACAAATTGATTTTTATCAAGATTCTAGCTTTTGGCTTGCCGTACCCTTTTTGCGGTCAGATATGCTTCCTTCTGCCAGATAGATTGTTGTTGCAGAAGATTGTTTTTAAGTTCAAGGCTAATGATTTTTTATAATAATGCCAATTTTATCCTTTACCCATTGAACTTAAGTTGATGTAATCGACCATTTCTCCTTTTATTATATCATTGATATATTGTCTCGGGTTGTGTGCGTGTTTAGCAGATAGAATAGGCTATTTCCTCACCGGGTATACCTGACTAGCGCACTCTTGCTTGGTTTATATGCATTAATGTATAAATATGTAGATATGGAACCATTGCAAATGTTCCATTTGGCACATTTTCGGTAATATGTATTTTTATTGCCAATGAGCTATGGTTCATTAAAAGTATTCCACAGTTTTTGGTTATATTATGTAATCACTACCGAAATCACA